GCAGCTCACTTTTAAGTATAATTGAATTCTTTTATTAAATATTCTTACTCCCATGGAAGAAAGTATGACTTCAGTTTAGTAAAGAATGGTGAGGCCATTCCAGAAAGACTCTGACTTTAAAATAATAGTTTACATTTTTATTTGGCTTTTTAATAGATGCGACTTAGGATGCAATCGTGTCATTTGTGTTTTAAAAATCCATCATGAATACAAACATTTGAAAGTCAAGGCATTCACAATCCACTGGCAAGTGGGACATTTTTGCTGGTGAGTGTGGGGCCCAAAGGTATCAGTTTTTCCAGAATTTACAGAATTTAAAAAAAAAAAAAAAAAAAGAATTTTCTGCCTCTTACTGTTGTGAACATAACCATCCAAATGTGAACTGAATGTAAGCTGATTGATGCACAGTGTTGTTTTCCTGAGTTTTCACAAATTTACCAAGCAGCAGAGTAGAATTAAAAGACTCTGGTCAGTTTCATTGTTACTGTTCAAAATCTTGTAAACAGCAGTGTAACTCTCAAGAATCATGTCAAATTCATATTTCTCCTGCCTGAAAAAACTGTATCGTCACCAGAGACACACAAGGACTGAGAAAGGAAAAAAAAAAAGCAGCAGCTGGGGCAAGGGTTGCGTAGCAGAGATCCCTTCTGATAGACCCAGAGGTTCTTCAGGGACGGAGACAAAATTCCTTCAAACTTCCAGCATATAGAGAGTGGAGCTTCAGATTTATCAGATACCTCCTAGTCAGCAGGTGATTATAAAAGATGGAATACCTTGTTAGAAATCCCTGCACCCTCACTAGCATCTGGGGCTTCTTACCAAAGCCCTGCCCTTCGATTTTATTAGTAAGGCCACCCCTTTGTCTTTTTGATTTACCTTTGGCTCTTAGATGTCTGGTAAACTTTTTGAGTTCTGGGTATCTCATCACAAAAACCATCATGACAACTCATACTAATTGGCACACTTGTTGTGACTCTGATACTATGGGGTATAAATGCATGGAACTGGCAATCTCAGCAGAGCGGCTAAGGACTCTTTGTCGCTTTTTAAGGATTGAATGTCTGTTCATCCCTGCAGTTGTCTCTCCTGACTCAGAGTTGAGGCACACTGTTGAGTGGGGAAGTTGTTACTGCAATTGGCCTTGTTTCTGTTTTGAGGACAAGTAGATTTTAGTTTTAATTCAGTCAGCTTGGCACTTTCCCTGAGTTATAAACTATAAATACAAGGAAACAAAAATGAATTGCCTACAGTTTTATTTAAACTTTAGAATCATTAAGTTTATTTTAAAAAGTAATGGGATAGCACAGTAGTCTAGAAGTGATGCAGTGCTCTACTATGTGGGCATCAGAGATGTGGACCTTCAACTCAGTCCCCTCATTCCTGGGCCAGCAAGTCTGGAAGTATGCTCAGGTGTCTCGTGATCCTTCCTATCTGCTGATTCACTCTCCCTCCCCCACAAATTAATCCTTCTAGAAGCAATGTTGGCAGACTCCAATAGGAACTGTTTGCTTGTTTACATGGGGGGAAAAGACCAGCCTAGCTGTAGCAAGTAATTATTCTAGACTAATGTCCACATGGGGGAGTTATAATGACATAGCTAAAGCAGTGTCTGTGTTGGTTAGTTTCCCTGTGTATACAAGCACTGTGTTAGGCAGAAGAGGCAGGATTGATGGTGGTGGTAGGAGAACTGAGGGCAACAGCCACTCTCTGATGAAAACAAAAGTAATTGAAACAATTGTCTCAAATTTTGGGATCCATGGTTTGCACAGCTTTTGAGGAGGCAGTTTAGTTAGCAGAAATTAAAGTACACAGTGAACAGTTTAGTTAAGGTCTGTGTATACAGAGTGCTCCTGCTGTAACCTGATGACTGGAAACTTTTGTTTTTGTTTTGTGTTCCATAGCAACTTCCTGGATGGGTGATTCTTTTGGAAGCAGTTAAGATGCAAAACTTGGGCAAATAGCTGTATTTATAATCCTGTTGAACAGGTTATGGGTGAGTCCCTCGAGCCTGAAGAACAGGAATTGTTTTTTTGTTTTACCTTTTAATTTTTTTCTTTACTGATTTTTCTAGAAAAAGACAAAAACACCAAAAATAATACTGAATGAAGAAGACATTTACATTTCTTCAACAATCATCATTACTGACATCAGGAAAAAGGAATTTAAATACCAGGTTATTGCTTTATGAGTTTAGCTACTATTTTTAAAAATTTGACACAAGAAAGGATCAGTGCTTAGCATCAGTATGTACTCATTAGAAATGTAGCCTAAAAATGTTGTGCCATTGCATCATTTCATGCCACATGATGTGGCCTGTCCTTGCATAAGGTGATGTGGTGAAAGTATTTTAAATAACATTTTACTGACAGAGACTTACCCACTTCTTAACAGATGTTCTATTTCAATCCATCACATATTTAGCTATGATAAACTGATTCCACTGTCAGAAGTCTAATAAATGATCATGTGTGTGTCTGTCCTGTTGCATAGTAAGAGCCATAAATCTGATGGTGTCAATTTCACAACCTTCAGTATTGGCAAATAAGCATATTAGCAATAAGGACCGATTGTGAACAAGCATAGCAATGTGTTTTTAATATTTTAAAAGTTTTTACTGAATAGCATACACTGTAGATGTATAGTGCACAAAATTAAGACGGCTCTGCTAACCTAGAGTTCCCCTAAGCTGACCTGACTCTGTTTGTTAGCCATTATATGGGACTGCATGTTGTAAATGCTAGTGAGTGAGAACACTGAAACCTTGGGTGACCATATTTCCCAAAGGGAAAATGGGTCACTGCATTAGGCTAGCCCAAGCCGCTCATCCGCACCTTCCCCGTGCGGGGCTGGCCTGAGCTGCTCACACGAGCCTTGCTTCCCACTCCCTGGATGGGGCTGGCGTCACTGCTCGCCCAAGCCCTGCCTGCTCGCCGCCGAGCTCTGCCTCCCCCCTGCATGAGCCTGGCATCACTGCTCCCCCTCCACCCCCGACTCCTCCACATGTTCCTCTGCATCCCCTTTTTTTGACAAAAGTGGGCATTTGTCCCACTTTTTCTGAAAAAGTCAGGACAGCCAGGACGGGTTAAAAAAGGGACTGTCCTGGCCAAAACAGAACGTATGGTTACCCTACTGAAACCTTATGAAGGAGCCCACGGAGGTTAAATGTATGGGTAGGAGATTTAACCTAGAAAAATGTAAGCACAATTGTTCAAAGAGAGGTGCAAGGCAAGGCGTAACCCTAGATAGAATATGTCAAGTGATAGACAAAAAAGGGAAGAAGAAGTCAGTATATTAATATAAAGTTCATGTGGCAGACTGGTTTGTAATGTGTGTATTTTAATTTGCTGAATAACACTATGCCAGACGTACCCATAACACTCAGTTCTATGTCCCTGAAAGGCAGTAAGTCTCTCCATTTTAGTAACCTCAAGGTATTGAAGCTGTTGACGGAACGTGAAGTGTTCTTCTGTAAACAGGCAGAAGTAATCTTGGTGGTTTGAAGGAAAATGATCTTATCTCGAGACCCATGGCCCAAGTCCAACCCTCTAATATCAGTAGAATAGGGATCAAAGACCAGACAGGATAACTATCTTTAGCATAAGTGATGAGATGTTTTAGGACCAAAGTTCATGGACAATACACTCTATTTTTAGTGGTAAACAGTTAGATGGGACAGAGTTTTGTAACTGTGCTGCAAAACTTATCTCTAGCTTTTTCAAGTTATTTTGGATTTCAGGATCTCCTTTTGTCCCCCTAATAATTTAAACTCTTACTTGCAAGTTTTCTTTCAAGAAAACAACAGCCACAGAAACAAGTAATAAGAAATATTGAGGGGTTATATGCTGTTTGCTGCAGCTGAATGTGAATTCAGCAGGTCGCATGGTGGCACCATTCATCCACATACAAACAGCAATTTGAGAATAATTCACTTATTAAAGAATTGATTTCTGATGGACAGTTGTTCACTGGCACTTGTCTCCTATTGCATAAGAATCTTTTAGGAGCTGCAGCAAATTCAAACTGAAATGTATCACCAAGAGCTAAAAATAATCATCAGTAGCTTTTAAACAAAAAATGTTGCACTGACCTTGAAGTAACTACTGGAAGTCCTTGTTGTTTAGCATTCCTGCAGTATACCAGTGGAAAGAGAATGTGCACGAAGGTTTCTGGGCAGGAAGATATTTATACTATGAAGAGTGTGATTCAGTAATTTCCCATAAAGACGGAAGTATTAGAACTTATGGCATTAGGCAGCAAATATTGTTTCAATTTCTATATTGAGATTAAATATATATATTCAGTTTCCTTCAGTTATTGTGTCCACTTTGCTTGAGACAATTGCAGTGAATTAAGTCTGCAAGTAATTTGAATAGGTACATTCAACATCACTGTAAATTATGCTCCTCACTGAACGCTCCCTAGCCAAAGTATAAAAATGGGCAAGGTTCAGAAAGGGTTTTTAAAGGCATCTATTAAATAGTGAAATATTCTGAAACAAATTCTGTCTGTAAAAATACTTTGATGCAACTGATTTGCATATATGTGGTTGGTATGGGAAATGTTTGTGAATCTCCTCATCAGTAAAGCTGTGGTGTAACGTAACATTCTTTTCTGCAACAGAGCAAGATCCAAAAATTTTGTTTTGGGGTGGGGGGTGGGGGTACAGCACATTCGTTATACTGTACTGGGAGGCAGTGTCCTCTAGTGGATAGAGCAGTGGATAGAAATAAGAAATCTGGTTCTGTCCCTGGCTCTGCCACTAATTGACATGCTGAGTGAGCTTGCCTAAGACACATCCACGCGCAGTTCCTCTGTTTACTCACATGAGGTAATTATTCTTACCTCCTTTGTAAAGCACTTTGCAATCTATAGATGAAAAGTGCTATATGAGTAGGGTGATCAGATGTCCCGTTTTTAAAGGGACAGTCCCGTTTTTTGGGACTTTTTCTTATATAGGTGCCTATTACCCCCCACCTCTGTCCTGTTTTTTCACAGTTGCTATTTGGTCACCCTATATATGAGAGCTGGGTAATATTATATGCCAAAGTTTTTCTCAGGGTATGGTTATTATTAAAGTCAGGATAGTATAGCTATAAATCTCACACACCCCTGTTTAATATTGTTGAAGGAAAATGGGAATTATTACCTCCAACACTGGTATCTTGCGACTGGAAGATTCCAGATCTAAAACTGGATTTTCAGGTCCCAGTTAGTGGAAAGGATTCAACACTTAAGTCTCCTTAGTGTGCAGCAAATGACAGGTAGTGCTGCTTTTGCACTGCCACCAACTCATACATCCCATCTGAGAAAACACAAAATGATAGCAGGCCATTAAAAATTGTTATCTCTCTGGCCCCTGGATACAGTGTGCCAACACCATGGAAAGCGAAACTCTTGGGAAAATAGCTAAAGGCAGGAGGAGGGGAAATGCCAAGTGATGTAGGTTAGTGAAGTGTAGATCTGTATATTGTGAACTCTGAATCTGAGAGGTGTTCAGAGCCCTCCATGGGATTGGTTCTGGCTACCTGAGAGGTTGCCTTCCACAACAGTTTCGTTTCACTGGAACCATGAAACTGTAATCCAGTGGGGGAGGGGGAGAGTGAGTGCAGGATACAGATCTTTCAGAGGAGCTGAATGTAAACTATGGAATTCTCTCCCTAAGCAAAAATGACTATAGACCGTATCATTTTCAGAACTAAATGCAAAACTTATTTATTCAACTTAACTTTCCCTCAATTTCCACATACCAAAGAAATCCGCACACAAACACAACCTGTAAACTAACCGAGTAATTTCTCCTACATGCTAGGAAGGAAGGGGGAGAGGTAGCTATTTGTTTCTATTTTTAAATACTTGAGAGGTACTCATATACAGCAGTGAGGGAGGAGGAGTCATACAAGTACTTAGTGTGTTTTTCTCTCATGGATAAAATTACATCATTTTAGTTTTGTTTTTATCTTGCATGCACATGTAAATAGGGCTTATTCTTGTCTCGCTGTATTTTTACGTGCAATCCCAGTTGAACAGGAAACCTCACTTTCAGAGGATGTGGGCAAACTGCTTAAGATGGATGCTTTGTTACTTTAAAAAACGGAGAGGCTATATAAGCCAGTATCAATTAAATACTCTAAAAGTGTATGACAAAGGGTGGAAGATTATATGCAATTAAGGAGTTGATGAATGTAGAGCTTATGTGTAAACTGTGTACCTCTTACATTAACCTCTCCATATTCTCCATCACAGTGCATTGACTTGTTGACATATTCTAAATATCCCGTTGCTGCTAGTCAGAATATCACCAGTGGTAACTCACTGGCATTTTGGCTCTGGTAGTCAGAATTAGTCATTAATGTTGGGAAGTCTCATTCACTGGTAACATGTCATTGCATCCTTTTGATAGTTTTTTTTTTTTTAAGGGCAAAGGTAGTAATGGGTACTCTCATTCATTTTCTGAGAGATGGCATGAGTGTTCCTAGTTTTTTTTTTTTTTTTCCCCCCCACAGCCTGTCAGTACTGATACATTATGGGTGGCACTGACTGGGTGACTAAAGGGTTTTGGCCAATCATAACTAGGGATCCTAGTTTTTTGTGATTTAAAAAACCCGACATTCTCTGATTAAAACCCCCATAAAAATCTGTGTTTTTCCGCAATTAGAATGGATGCTGAACTTTAGTTTCCCTAGCCACAATATGTATAGCTATCTGTTGAACACAATGTTTTATTGTTATACATTAGAACACCATTTATCCAAGCCTCCATTATCCAGCTCTCCGTGTTAACCAAACCACCAGCTGCCTGGAGCTGATCGCCCAAGCCCTGCCGCTGTCAGACTATGGCGGCTGGTGGTTCGGTTAACACGTAGAGCCGGGTAATGGAGGCTTGGATAAACGGGGTTCTACTGTATGTAAATTTAAAGTGCATTCAAAAATCAACAACAAGAGGAGAAGGTTGTGCGCATTGAATAAGTGACACTAGTTAATATATGTTTTTATTTTTTCACAAAATGTAAAAACTAAAGATTCTTGAAAAATGCAAATTCTGCATTTTTCTGTGGCAAATGGATTTCTAGGATCCCTGATCATAACTAATATCTTTGTGATGCATATGAGAGAGAGGGAGAACCTGTACCAATGAGTAATCCTGTCTCATCAATGATCCAGCCATATCTTTATATCTTCATGGTATTGAGTGATAGCTGTTTTACTTTGATTGTTACATATTGAGAAATACAAAGAGGAAAACATCCACTTGCTGCAAAATAAAATGACTCAGAGTTGGTAAATTCCAAACTTACAAGCTGTTTAAGATTTGACAAATTGTGGCTAGTAGTGTGATTTTACTTGCTAAAGAGAATTCCTCCCCTGATGCTTCTGTAGTTTCTTGTCTAAATGGGCACAAAAAATGTAAGAGAAAAAAGCTTGACTTATTAGCAGAATTACAAGCAAAATTACAGACGTCAGGCTTCTAATAAATAAACGTAAATAACTTTTACGACCATGTAATCATTTCCCCTATGATTCCTCTTGAAAACAGAATAGTTTCATTAGATTCTTCCTCTTAGTGTGATATTCCCACTGCACTAAGTCTCCTGTGGCACTGAAGAAGCAATTTATTGCATAATTCCCATTAGTAGTACAAATATACTCTGTGATCACACTACTGTGTTCAATCTGTATGTATTGCATAAACTTAGAATAAATTGACATCCCCTTAGCACCTTTTCTCACTTGAAATGATATCTTTAATTGATTATTTAAAAATAGTCATTTCATATTACTGCAACAAAATGACAACAACCGTACTTTTTTTATACAAGTATACTGCTTGTCTATTAGAAGATACATTTTTCAATAAATAGTGCCACATTTTTGGAACGAGTAATTCACTGAATCAAATTACATGTGTTTGTTCCAGGTGCAACAGTGGTAATTTTCACAAATATTCAGAATGCTTGTTTTACAGTATGTCTGCTGCTCAACACTATAGTACATGCCTTTTTAGTTTCTCTCATACATTTGTGGTGACTGATAGATGATGCTGTGTTTCGCTTATATTCAGAGCTGCCATCAAATTCACCTTTCTGAAACCATTTAAGGAGATTGGTGAGTACCTTAATATTTCTTCTAATCCTTTTAACAAGTACTGGTCATGGCAGAAGTAACCCTTTTGGCAGATGTCCTGCATAAGGTTGCAACTTCTGATCAGAGCGCTAAATCCACAGTTTATTTATCCAAAGTTATCAATGGTATCTGAACAAATAAACCATCATAACTGTGCTGTATTTTGGTGGCAGAAAACTTCACTAAACCAGATGCAGTTCAAGACATTAGTGTATTTTTTGTTTAACATTTCTGACATTAGGGGACTGGTAATTTTGAGAGAGACTGTTCTACCTTTGTCACAAGGTAGAACCACTGGCAGAGGTTGGTAGCCTGCATGTTGGAATACTGGAATTATGTTTTGTGGGCTGGAATATGTCAGTTGCATGATCCATAATCCTCAAACAATGGCAAGTGGGATTTATTTTTGCTTGTTTTTATTTACTTACTGTGGAGCACTAAGGGTTTATCCTAAATCCTCTGCCTTTCAGTGTGCGTGTCTGCAGGTTCTAGTTAGTATTAGTTCTAAACCAGAATACTTCAAATCCTGCTCCATGATAAACAGCTGCTTCTTCACACATCTACACACCACAACCACCTTGGCATACTTAGTCCAGTGAGTTTTTTCTGGCCATTTGGTTGTTCCATTAAGATTTGCATGTGAAGTACCTGGAGAACTCTAGGAGGATTTACCAGATGTACAAACAAATACACATTTAACAGAACACACAATTTTTTTCAGGAAGTTCTGTACTGTTCTTCTAATGGAATAGTCTGTTTGTTACAGATTTGCGCTGATACACTACAAGACATTTTATTAAACAAGTTTAAGGATCCCACCAGTGTCCTGGAACATCTGAAGGCAACATCTTATTTTCTTAAGAACAAGTGAGTTTTTATACTGTTGGTATGTTTGTGCTACTTGAAGATTTTAAAATGATTTAAGGTATATCTAGTACAGAGTTCTAATGTGAAAATTGCATCTTTTGGAGATTGAGCCTGTCAGCTTGTGGGGAAGGGTAGGGTTGAAGAAGATACAGTTGTGCCACTTCAATTTTGGAAGGGAAATAGACAAGAAAATTTAGATTGCTGTACAGGGTCGATTTGATTTAAATCATGATTTAAATCAGTCTGATTTAAATCATGATTTAAATCACTAGTCAGGAAGACACGATTTAATCATGTATTTCTACATAAAAGTGCATTCTTGTTGGTTGTTATAACCTTAATACATATTCTTCACAACTCAGAGATAGATGTAGGTTTCTTTTTTAGAATGTACACCCTATACATTTTTAAAGTGATTTATTTTGAAAACTTTTCAGATTAGTTTTATAGCTATATCGGAAAATGAATGATTGGTTATTTCATTTACCAAAGGTAATTGAAGCAGATATTTATGAAGTCATTGGGAGGTGAACTATCTCCAGTTCAACAAGTTAATCATTAATATTTGGAGGATTTTCTTGCCATGCTGTATTAGGAGGAGAACATCACCAGACAGATATTTAAATTGTTTTATTTAACTAAAACAACAATGTTATATATACTGGATTTTTTTTCTTTAACAGCAAGCATATAATATTTTAACAAAACAAGCATATGAATTTTTGAATTTAGTTAAACATTCAAGATTTTTAAAAATCAGGGTTTTTTTTGTTAAAATTGTTTTTAACTAAAATAGTTAAATGAATTTTAAAAAACAAACAAATTAAATTGACTGTGTCAGCCTGGTCAACATGAGAAACTTAAAATATTGGCTTCTGCAGCTACCTCAGTCCTCTTCACCTTCATTTTCCTATTTGTTCGTAATCTGGAAAAGAAAAAACAAGCTTTCCTGCTTTTTCAGGTCCCAAACGATTTCTCAATTTGGAATGAATTAGTCCAAAGGAAGAAAATATTCTTTCTACACTGGCAGAAGAAGCTACTGCTGTTAAAAGTGAGATTATCACTTCAACAGTCTCCGAATCCAAGTGCTTAAGTGACTTCCACCAGTTCACTGGTGTGACTGTCTTTAAAACATCATCAGCAAACATATATTTCTTGAATGGTTCTTACTCCCAAACTGGGTCTCCTTTACAGCCTGCTGCCATTATAGGTTTTCCCTTCTAGTGAGAGAATGGTATGGTAGATCACAAATCAATGAAGGCTACACTCAAGACTTCTGGAATATGCTGCTCAAACAGTTTCACTTTTGTTTCTACTGCCTGTCCCTCCCTTCTCCAGACTTTTTCTCCTTGTCCAGATCTATTCCGCCCCCAACAATCTTCTATTCATTGAACTTTTTGAAATTTTGCACTTTTAGACAGCGGTAAGGGATTGACTCTGTGTACACAAATTTGCAGAGGGACAATAGGATTGAGGTCTGTTATTTCTCACCTCTATTTATTATTTATTTATTTAATTTATTTTAAAACATTTTTTCTGTTAACAAGCATGTTATCTCTGGAGACACACATCCACAGTTTGAGAACGGCAAAACTAAGCATCTCTGATAGTATCTTCTAGACTGAGCAGTGAGTCCCATTGGGTAGATAGAAAGATTAACCTAAATAATCTATACAGAAGCCCCTGGAGCCCCATAAAATTGGGGCCCTAATCCATGAACTATTGGAACGCATTTACAAAACTTTTCTGAAACATTACATGACTATATTGTCTCATGCTATAGAATTAGAATTTATAATCCCTAGTCCGTGATGAGATATCTTTGAGCTATAATGTATCGTAATTAAAACTACCTTTAGATAGGTTTTTTCCTCAAAAAGCATTTTATCAAAAAAATCCGATTTAAATAAAAAAAATCATTGATTTTTTTTTTATCCACCCTGTAGCTGTGGAGTCCTAGCCATGCAACCCACCAGAATTCTTGTAGCATTTCAGTTGGAAGTACCAGATAGATCAGAGGTGGGCAAGCTATGGGCCCATGGGACCCTCCTGCCCAGCCCCTGAGCTCCTGGCCCGGGAGGCTAGCCCCTGGCCTCTCCCCTGCTGTTCCCCCTCCCCCGCAACCTCAGCTCAGGGCGCTGCTGGCGCAATGCTCTGGGCAGTGAGCTCTTGCTGGGCCGCGCAGCTGCAGAGCCAGCCTGACCCGGTGCTCTGTGCTGCGTGGTGGCATGGCTTGCTCCAGCCGGGTGGCACGGCTGCCTGTCCTGGTGCTCTGGGTGGTGCGGCTGTAGCGCCACCAGCCACGGTACTCCAGGCAGTGCGGTAAGGGAGCAGGCGAGGTTGAATAGAGGGCGGGGAGTTTGAGGTGATGGTCAGGGGGCGGGGGTGTGGATAGGGGTCGGGGCGGTCAGAGGGCAGGGACTAGGGGTGTTGAATGGGGACAGTCAGGAATGAGAAGAGGGGTTGGATGGGGCGGTGGGGGGCAGTCAGGGGTGGGGGGTCTGGGGGTGGTCAGGGGACAGGGAGCGCTGGATAGGGCAGGAGTCCCGGGGGGGGCCATCAGGGGGTGAGAAGCGGGGGGGGGGGGGCGATAGGGGGCGGGGGCTGGGCCATGCCTGGTTGTTTGTGGAGGCACAGCCTCCCCTAACTGGCCCTCCATACAATTTTGGATACCCGATGTGGTCCTCAGGCCAAAAAGTTTGCCCGCCCCTGAGATAGATTCTGTGTTCTTTCAGTTGCTCTGTCCATATCTGGATAAAATGGAAGTAGTTAGTGCCCTAAAGGGAAACAATATTGTATGAACTATCTTATGGCTTTCTGTTGTTGGAGATGATTGTGGAAGAGAGTGCTTTCAAGTAAGCAGTAAATTATCCCCTACATAAATATTACTTGCAGACTAAAAAGAATGTATTCTGCATAGGTGCTGAATTATTAAGTCATTCTTTATGTAGCTATTCAGGGCCAGAAAGTTATTCCCCATCTATTCCTCTTCCAAATCTGAGATAAGAAAAGTCAGCTTTGTCTCTTGCCCTGACAAATTAAATAGTGTTGATACATACATTCTGATGGCATTTCTCATTTGGACAAATTCTGCTAACTCGTGAGGTGTAAATAATACTTGTTAATTTGAATAGACTAAAATATTATAGTCTCTTAATCAGAACAGCATTCAAAACCAAGGTGTCTGTAGTGTAGGTATTGGAAAATGATTAATCTGAAACACTAGGGAAGAGTTATAAAGCATGAACAGTGTAAACTCCCCAAAAGCAAGAGAAGTCTTAAATCTAATTCTTTGGCTGCTGGCCATATTTCCATTCTTCCAGCCAAATGAGTGCACTAGGATTGGAGGATGCCTTATATAGGCAAGAGAATTAAAGTACTTAAGTATCCTATCAAAAAGATTCAGCTAGCTAATCAGAATCCTGGTTATAATCTGCTAGAGAATTGTCATGAGCATGGAGTACTAAGTATCCAAGATTCATAATTTCTTCTCCATTTCCACCAGAAAAATTCTAATCCAAGTCTAGGTCCTCTTTCAGCCCTGTTATTTTAATGCCTCCTCTCTGACTTCGTGATTCTTTCCTCACTCCAGTATATTCAGAATTCATCTGGTAAAATCATTTTCCCTGCCCACCACCTGGACTACATCACTCCTATGTTCAAAGCTCTTCACTGGCTACTCATTGTCTTCCACATCAAGTTCAGCCACCTGGTCCTCTCCTGCAAGGCCCTGTATAGTCCGTCCCAGCCATCATAACTACTTATCTTCCCCTCTCATGCACTCTGCACCAGTGACTCCTCCTGAGTAACCATTCTCTTCCTCTTCTCTCATTTTTGTCTTCATGCCTCTTCCCCACTGTCCCTTATGCGTGGAACAACCTTACTTGGTCTTGTGAGTCACTTATTCACTCTCTCCCCATCCAAATCTGTCTTTAAAAATCTCACTTCTTTCACAATACCTATTATCTCTAGTTAGTCAGTTGAATCATATTTAATCAAATAATAATTAGCAAGAAATTAGTGGTGCAACCAATTTCTACCTTGCACTTTTAGGCCAAAACAACAAAGTACATGTTTATCTTTTAAAACCTTTGGGACTGTTCCCTTGCTTTGCTGGATGGGGTCCTGATATGGAAATTGCACCCACAACAGTTCTAGACCCTCCTTTGATTTACCATTGTTGTCTTCACATTGTCTAAAAATTCTATCATTTGTCCTTTGTCTAAGTTAACTTCCTCAAGGCAGGCACCTTATCTTTATAGTTGCTTGTGAAACACTATGCCCACTTATGGTGCTGTATAAAAATGTTCTGCAGAGGTGGCTGAAAAATGTAATTTCCTGCAGAGAGTGAAGGAGATAATGCTCACAGTAACAATGAATTTTTCAGCTGCTGTCACTACTGTGTATTGAAGTTCAGATGTAAATAAGGAACAGATAAATGAGAGAGGAAATCCCATTAGTGACTTTATTTATAGTACGTAAAAACTCTGATTGATTACTTTGAGAGCCCAGTGTGTTTGTTCAGTCCTGTAATCTGAATTATAAAAGATGACTCTTCTTCCCCCTCCCCTCTTTCTAAATAGGTCCAGCCTGTGAGCTAATTCTATCAAAGTTTTCTTTTTAATATAAAATCTACAGAGCGTGATCTCTCCCTCTGTGGGGTTTACCTAGTGTCTTGCATTCATGGTGATGCTTTAATGCAATCCTCTGAAGTAACAAGGCTATCCATTTCTGTTCCAGCAGGTGTGAACAGGATTAAAAGGAGCGTTCTCTATGTATCAGAAAAGACTGCAGCATATTAAAATAATATGCAGTATACAATGATTTCAGAGCTATATTCATAAACTACTTTGCATTTTTATTTGAGAAAGCATTTGTGAGGTGTTTGCATTGTATTTATTTACTTCACTTCACCATTTCATCTCATTTTTAACTCCAGGTTTGCCACATCAGACAGAAGTGGAACAATGTCCTATGTTTTTGTAAATGATTCTTCCCAGACAAATGTGCCCCTGTTGCAGGCATGCATTGATGGGGATTTTAACTATTCCAAGCGGCTGCTGGAGAGTGGCTTTGACCCAAATATTCGTGACAGTCGTGGCCGAACTGGTCTGCACCTTGCAGCAGCCAGAGGAAATGTAGACATCTGTCAGCTGTTGCACAAATTTGGTGCTGATCTACTGGCCACCGATTACCAAGGTAACACAGCCCTTCACCTGTGTGGGCATGTGGATACCATCCAGTTCCTAGTCTCTAATGGACTCAAAATTGATATTTGGTAAGTTTGTCATCTCTTTTTTGACCACTTTATAGTATATTAGTCTCTCTCTCAGAAGTATTTTGTACAAATATGTTGCCTGATACAAATGCTTTAATGGTAAATTTAGTGAAATTCAATTTTTTTAAATGCCAGTTATGAAAAAAAAGAAAAACAAATGCATGGGCCCACTCCTAACTGATCATGAACATCATGAAAGGCAATAGAAGCAGGAGCTGTTGGGCTTGGCTGGCATAGCCACTGTCTCTCACTAGCTGATGGCTCTGCTATCCTGGTTTGGCCAGACAGCCAAGAGGGGGTGGATGGCATCACAGAATAATTTAGAATGACGGGTTTTTTTTTTTTTTAGAATTTTCTGTACCACAGTCTTAATGCTTTAATTGACGACTGTAACAAATAAAGAAAATACAGTAAATGTGTATCAGTTCTCCCGTACTCTTTGGGAGACCGTGCTGCCTTTCAATGCTCCCCCTTCCTCAAAGCCAATCCTTCTTTTAAATATTGTATATTCTTTCTTCCTAGCTCCCAGCAGCTGTCAGATGCTAGTGTCCAGACACAAGCACTCAGAATACCAAATAACTAGCTATTTTATTGAGTACAATTAGGTTAGCCAAGGTCACCTTGTTCTCAGAACTTTCTGCACATGCATCTCAGCAGAGGAAAATAAGGCAATAAGTTTAGGCCCTTGGGCCTTCTGGTCATCTTTGATTATTGGAGCTGCCCATGATCTCCTCATATCAGCAGTATTAATTATTGGCCAGCCCAGGGTCATTGTGTTTTTTCCCTTCCTCCCTTTATCCCAAACACCTGTTTGCTGGCAGCCTCTAATATGAAGGCAACAAATGTACTCCTACTTGGTTTGGTTTTTTCAAAGGTATGGTAGGAGGATTTACCCATCCTGTGTTTCATTTATTGCTTAATATTCTGTGACTCTTATATAGTAAGGAGCTATGAAGAAACTTAGATTTCAAGCAGTAATCATACAAAGCCTTATACACTGATATAAATATGTTGTTAGTTTATTTTTCTTGCGGGAGCATCCAAAGGCTACAATCAGGATAAGACCCCATTGTACTAGGATTTTTGACTTTGTACCAAGAGTAAAATATTATAGGGTTGTGTGCTTTAAAAATAAACTGTACTGAATTTTTCATACAGTTGCCTTTTATTCTTGGACTTTTTATAACTAAGAATAGTTTACTATCTTGTGTAGCTAAAGACTGGTCCTAAATACTTATTGGTCAGTACATTTTACATTGCATACTTATGCAGATTCATCCTATCTTAGAATTCTCATTTTATAGTTTATCTTCCCCCATCCACTTTCTTGGGGGGACTATTTTAGCAATCACCAAGGAGCAACACCACTTGTTCTGGCAAAACGAAGAGGAGTAAATAAGGATGTAATTCGATTGCTGGAGTCTTTGGAGGAGCAGGAGGTGAAAGGATTTAACAGAGGAGCTCCTTCTAAGATGGAAACCATGCAAACTGCAGAAAGTGAAAGGTATTACAAGACAGATGTTTACTAGAAAAAAATAAAAGCATGTGTGTAAAGTATATCTTTGTTGGTAAATCCATATTGTTTTCTGCTAGATACATGAGTTGACATGTTTGTTCCTCAAAATGGAACAAAAGATTTATAAAAATTATCTTTAATAAAAACTAAGTTCAATAGAAAAGTTTGATTTTTTTTTTTTTTTTTTTTTTTTTAATTTCTAGTGAAAGAAGTTTTTATAACAGCTAAGTATTCCACTACAGGGTTTACAACCCAAATATTGTACCATTTTACTGGTGCAAGATAATCTGAAAATGAAATTCACTAGAAACTGGTTATAAGCAATATCCTGCAGTGTTCTGCTCTAGAAACTAAGGGTATGTCTACACTGCAATTAGACGCCTGCAACTGGCCCATGCCAGCTGACTTGGGCTCCCAGGGCTGGGGCTAAGAGGCTGTTTAACTGCAGTGTAGACATTCAGGCTGGAGCCTGAGCTTTGGGACTTTTTCCCCTCACAGGGTCCCAGACCCTGAGCTCCAGCCTGAGCCCAAACATGTGTTATCCCATATGTTAAAAACAAGCCTACTCACTTTACATTTTATATCATTAAAATTTTACAAGATTCTAAAAGGGATTGGACATTTATATGGATAAGATGAATATCCAGAGTTAGAACAATTACTGCTAAAAATTTTGGAAGAAATGTTAATCTCGTGGGTCAGGGGTTAAACTAATCTCTAACAATTAGGGAGAGACCTAATGTGGAGGAAAGATTATCTCACATCTGCCTGCTCTGGGGCTTCTTGCATCTTCCTCTGAAGCATCTAGTGCTGGCCGCTGTTAGAGACAGGACACTAGACTAGACAGATCACATTCTGATCCAGTATGGCAAGTCCTATGTTTCTTATGGGAGTTTTACCATTGACTTTAATGGGGCTTGGATTTAGCTGTGAATTTGAACTGATAATGTCCCTTTAAAACCTGTAACTTCCTTTCCCTTTTGTGACCATCATTAATGTTCTCTTGTTTGATTTGGCAGGGAAACCTATAACTTGTCTTTTGAAATTACAGATTTATAGTTTACTCCCAGTTTGTTTGTGAGCTAGTTTAAAATATCTGAAGTATCTCCTTTTGTAAGATAACTTTGTATAATAAAAATAGATCGAGACAGCATTAGAAGCAAATGAATGGACATGTGCTTTGTAATTAAATAGTTTGTGTCCTTGTAAGAGCACTATTTGGGGGTTGGCTTTTCAGACCTCTAGTTTCACTCCTACCTCTTGGTATTATTTCCTGATTCTAGAGACTCTCAGAATAGAATCCCTACTTGTTTCTCTCCTCCCTCATTCCCACTATGCATGAAGCCAAGCGAGGATAATTGCTGTTCCCTCTGGAGACCCTGAACTTCACTTTTGAACTGACAGGAGAAGTTTCTAGAGATCAGTGCAAAAGTGTTCACTCCCTTCCTGGCTGAGTTTAATGCCACCTCCTCCTCATTACACTCACTTGCTTCTGACTCATGAGCAAAGGACAAAACAAAACTAGGTTCCCAAATCAGATTTCTTCTCTTTTCCTTCTCTTCCCTCCCCCGTGTGGTATCATATTGTGCTATGTCTGCGCAGAACACTCCCTCTCTATTTTCACATAGAGAATCTGCTTGTATGCCTAGACCTAGTGACCTGTCACTATAACAGGAAGCAACATTGAATGGTTTTGTTAGAAGCAAAATGAACATTTAAGGATTTGTCACTTACAGATTTTTCCAGAATAGTTTTATAGAGGAAATTGCTGCTTTATTACTGTTGCTTTTAATTCGGTTGCAATAGAAAATGCCACAGGGGTCGTCTTTGAGATGAGTGAGGACCTTTGGTTTTATTGTGGTAGTTTTCTTAACAATGAACGTATGACCTCTTTTTTTTTTTTTTTTTTTTTTTTTTTTATTTTTTTTTTTTTTTTTTTTTTTTTTTTTTTTTTTTTTTTTCCAGATTGCAGTGTACCTTTATTTAACCCCTGGAGTGATTATGTATTAACTAGTTGGTGCTTAATTAGTGAGCAGATCTATTCTATGCCAACAGATATCTTTTAATAAACCCTCTCACTTTGTTAGGAAATGATAATAAGCAGAGAAGATGACTAACTCCTGTAGTTATGGGCAAACCACCATAGCTTCGCAGCCAAGTAAATATTTAAAAACCAAAAAACACAAAGCACTTTACTGGAAATGCCTGAAAATTTCTGCACACGACACTGTAATAGTTCAGTAAATTACTGGAGCTTTGTCTAATTATTATTCAGTAGCTGTACTTCATAATGAGGAAAAATGTCACATGAATAACATTAATGTTAATCAGGAGTGTATTTTTAGAAAAAAAGGTTTACAAATGAATCTTCCTTCTAGGCATGTGTTACTGGCATCTTTAGTCATATCAGAAGCAAGAGCATTTAAACGGATAGTGTTAACTCACAATTTACTTTTATCTGAAATATTTTGCTCCTATTATTATTACAGGATACGCCTACGATTACTGTAATTGAAGAGATATTGGGGGAGGGGGAATCTGTTTTTACTCAGTATATTTTATGCCTTAACATCACTGTTTACATAGCTAGTTTTATTGTTTCTCTCGATACACAGTAAGAGCCTGATTCTGCAAATGCTTATGCTCATACGTAACTTTGCTCATCTGGGAAGTGGTGGGACTACTCAAATGAGTAAAATTACAGACCTGCATAAGTGTGTGATCAAGACTTTAGTCAGTTCTTTTGCTGTTTGTGTGGTTCCTTCCAGGGCTTTGGAGCGGAGCCCGGAGCTGGAGCACAGAGCAGCTCCAGAGCAGTGGAGCTGCAGGTTTTTGCCTGGAGCTGGAGCGGAGCCGGAGCACAGCTCCAAAGCCCTGGTTTCTTCATACATCAGCCAAGGAAATACATTTGCTTATTTTTCTAAATACTTCTCTGTACCCAAATCAAAGATTCTTTGAAAAGATAGATTATAAAATCATCTGTCTCAAAGGATTGCTTGTCAACTACTGTATGTTGATTTGGTAGGGTCAGGGGAGGGTCCTTTTCTTATATGCTGTCTTGAGATCATGAGTAAGTACTGTAAATCTGAAAATGTTTAATTTTGAATATTTTAGTTGTATTAGCAGGTTTACTCTTATACTTAAGGATGCATTCTTTTACTTGATGTGTTTATAACTTTAATCCTTCACAGTGCAATGGAAAGCCATTCCCTCCTTAATCCGAACCTGCAGCAAGGTGAAGGGGTTCTTTCCAGCTTCCGCACAACATGGCAAGAGTTTGTGGAGGACCTGGGCTTCTGGAGGGTGCTACTCCTGATCATTGTCATTGCCCTTCTCTCTCTCGGAATCGCATACTACGTTAGTGGGGTGCTTCCTTTTGTGGAAAATCAGCCTGAATTGGTGCATTAAAGCAAATGAAAAGAGGCACAACGTTCTTTTCCTGAGTTCTAATCTTTGTTTTGAGCTTCTTATAATTCTTGGTGCAGCTGTATATACTGTTTGCCTTTTATATGTACTGCTAACCCTTTTGGAAGAGAGCTGCATTAATTTCCGCTAACACCACCAAATTCTAAAGAATTCCTAGGCTACCTCTGACATGTCTTGACTTCTAATCAAAACTTATAGATAGCAGTCTTTATTGATCAAATGTGGTGATCATAAAAGGCCCTTCATAAATAAATAGCAAATGCTTGAGCATGTAAAAATGTGTCCTGCTACTGGACCAAATCATCTTGTTTTCCATTATAAAAAAAAATAAATAAACTACTTTTCCTATGCTTCAGCTTTTGAGGAGGAGTATTCTTATAAAAAGCTACCTAGATTAAATTGGAATAATTTTAATCTATTCTGATATTTACATCATACAATACTGTAAATGTGCAGTTTTCTTAGTGCACTCAACATGTTCATGTGTATGGTTATAAACTACATATACATTTAAAGAATGAGAAACATTTCAAATTTTATAACTTCGTTAAACTTCCTTTGACATCCTTGTATTTATATATTAGCTTAATATAACCTAGGTTTTTTTTCCAGTTAGTGTGGTGGTATTAAAATTTGTGAGAGAATAAATCCTTTGAAGTGAAATTGTCTGTAGTGCTTTTGGATGCAAACATCTTTAAGCATTTGACTTCAAAATGCAACTTTTTCATTTGAAATACCTTTAAGGAAACATTTTCTTTGTAACCTAGATGAAAAGCGATTTAAACATTTTTTCTGTGTTGCTGTGAAACGTGTCATGCAGGATAACTAGTTTCTGTGAAAATACTCAGAAAACAATATGTTCATTTCATTTGCAGTTTTGTGCAAGGGTTTAATTGGGATATATTTTTGGTAATATTGCTATCAGTTTCAACTATTTTCAAATGACACTCAAAAGCTGATGAGGCACTTTCTGAGTTAACATAATGCAATGTTGCACTGGGTGTCTTCATATTTCGGAATATTATGTAAATTGAAATCTGGCCCAATGTGAGGTCTTTGTTGTTGTTAATCTGAAGTTATAATACCTGATGATTTAATACTCTTTTATGGAGACTGGGTAAATATGCAGTAAGGTTGTGATTGTCAAAGGTGCCCAACTCCCACTCAATTTCCGTGGCAGTTAGGTACCTAACTCCCTTAGGTTGCTTTGACAATCCCAACCTAAGTGAATTCAGCAAACGTTAATAAAACAGCAAAATGATTTGTTTTATTAAAATGATCCTAAATCATTGCAAAATAAACTGAACACTTAAAAAGTTAGAAATTACAGTAAATGATAGTGGATATACATACATCTTATTATTGTGTTAATATATATTTGTTGTCTCTAGTTTGTGGTCATTGACTGAGGAGGCATCTTGTCTTTGTGATGTTGGGATAGGCTTCACAGAAGCGTTCATTCTAAATTGTTTCTGAAGAATTCTTAGAAGCTATTCTCCCAGATGGTACAAATGCAGCAAAGAAGGAAGCCTCCAAAAACCAACAAAATGAGCTTCTCTTCTAAACAGTTTAATTTGTCGTTTATCTGTTTATGAATAGAGAAACATAAGCTATTATATATAAACTACATTTACTTGTATAGGTAAGTCCATTTCTGTTAAGAACACCCTGTCTTATATTAAATAATGAAATTTTGCATTATGCACTCTCTGTATAATTTGTAAATGTATTTTGAATGTGAATGAATGCCATAAATAAAGATGTATAAGTAGACAAGTTTATTTTATTACTGTTTTAGAACAGAACTAAATATTTTATTTCATTTTAGTGATTCGGTGTTAATTTCTTTTCCATTTTGCACTGACCACATTGAAACAATGTGTATTAAAAAAGAGGATGTTTCTCCATTCTTAAGGGTTGAGGCATGAGGGTTTTGTGATGGTGCAGGGCTGGAGGCCTCCCACTTTAGAAAAATCTAGCTTTAACATATATGGTGTTGGAGAATGATTATTTTTTGGGCTTGCGTGTTTTTTTCCCTCTTACTGGTGGTGTTTTGGTCAGTTGTTTATTTCTCTAGTGTCTAATATAGCCACTTTCATCCCAAAGGAATCCAAAGGACTCCTTGAACCTCAGTATATACTGAACACCACTGAAATTTAGCCATCTGTGGGGTAGAGGGAATCAGCCAGGACAGCACTGGGCAGAGAGAGTGGGGAGGAGAAGTTTTGCCTACGTGCACAAGAGCAAACCCCTTCAATGAAGAGGGTAGTTGTATCTTTACTATGTCCACACGCCATGCAGGATTTCAGTTTCTGGGGTCCATTCAAAAGAAGAGACCCCAGACTCTTCCTTCTCCCCCCCCCATCCCCCCTTCCAGCAAACTGCATGGAACTCAGCTCTCCATCCTTGCAAGGGAGAAGGTTAAGTATAACCTGTTGTACTTGAACCTGTTGTTCCAGGGATCTGGACATTTCATAAGTCCACTCTGGATTTTATATATGTCACTAAGATTTATTATTTACTGGTATTACAGTAGTGCCAAGAGGATCTGGCTGATATTGGGGCCCCATTGTGCCAGGTGCTGTACAGACACCCGGTGAGAGTCTGTACCTGCTTTGAAGTGCTTCCAATCTAAATAGACAACACAGAGAGAAAAGTGGGAGGGGAAACACAGGCACAGAGAGGTGACGCAATTTGCCCAGTATCATACCAGAAAGGCATTCTGTGATTCTGGAGGCTTTCAGTGGCTTATAGTGGTGTTTTGTTTTGTGGGACAGAGTCAGTTGTTGTCTGTACTGTTTCTGGGCAGTATACAGTAGTCCAGTATCATACATTTTCTAGTTGATGCACTATAAGTAATCTGGCACTCTGTGGTGCTTTGTCATGGGATGCTCATATGAGGGAGGGAGCATGGTCTGGTTCTTAAAGTACTGGTACTCAGATCTAGGTACTGTTCCTGGCTCTGCTATTGACTGCAGTTCGGTACTGGCGCAAGTCAGTTAACCTCTCTCTGGCTGTTTCCCCACATACAAATTGGGAATAGCACTTGCCTTACAGTGGTGCAGTATGTGAATTAGTTAATGTCAATGATGCTTTGAGATCATTGGTCATAAGGCATTATAGAAGTGCAAATGATGGCAGTAATTTATCCAGAAATTAAATTAGATACTTTAAAATAAGTCTAGAAAGCATAGTTTACAGACAAAGGCATCTACAGGCCTAACATGTGCAGGGATTAATACTGTTGTTTGCCCTGTTATATGTTTAAAATTAATATTAACTGCTAAGGTTAATAGTAAAAATTAAGCACAATAAAGCATTTTAGAGGTAGTGATCAGATGTGTTTACAGGTGGTTGTCTGAAGGTTAGCTGAAGCCTAATTATAACAACTGACATTCTCCTCACTGCCAACCCCCCCCCCCCCCCCCCCGAAGTGCTACTCTTATTTCTATAGCCAGCTCCCACCTCCATAGGAATTTAGGAGTTAATATTTACCTAAATTATCTCTTGATCCATATTTTGATCAGATGACTAAGAAAGCCTTTTATGACTAGTGAATTATTATACTATGGAAAGCTCTGTGCTCCTTTATGATTTTACCTCGTTATAAACAATTAATTCGTATAGACTGGTCATCGAGAATATACCTTGTGAAAACTCCTAAGTGATCGATAATGCTACACAGAGGTTAAACATTGGTACAAATTATCACACTTCTGTCACTATACTGGCTTCCTAGAAAAAACGTGACCATCTTGCACTGTGTTGTATCCTGCACACCCCTGTGAACTGATTAACAGAGTTTAAATACAGATTTGAGACTGATGGTGCAAGAGCCTTTGCTGGTTGAACCCTAATGTTATGAAACTCCTTGCCTAATGACATTAGAGCTAATTCAGTATCCCTGCTTACAGTTAAATCCCAGAGATTTTTGTCTTCAGCCTTTCCAGTGCTTGAACTGAATTTGTGTTTTGTGTCTGTCTTTGTACAGTGCCTAGAGATGCTCATATGAAAAGATACTTAGAAATGTATGACGAAAGGGAACAAATGCAATTAATTGTAAGATCAGTATTATCTATAGCTAGGAAATGGGGCACTCCCAGGTTTTTTAAATCAAAGTGTAGCAGAAATCTGAGAAACTGAGATGTCCCATAGTCTTGATAGTGATTTTCTGTGGTATCAGTGGTACTGAACCACTGCTGATGTCTTATCAAAATAATTTTGTGTATCTGTAGTAGCCATTTAAAAATGTGTGTCTAGCTTAGATATTAATAGAGCGTCCATCACCATAGTAACTAAGAATTAAGCAACTAAGGAATTTTAGGAAGACAGTTGGGATTTGGTTCCCCTCAGAAAGAAACAGGAGGCTAAAAGACACTTCTGCCTTCAAAGACAGCAAATCCCCTAATAAGTATGGTGAAATGGCAGTATTACAGTCCATTAGCTTGGAAGGAGGATTGGGAATCTCTGAGATACCATAATTAAGGGGCAACAAGCTATAATTCCTGGAGAAATGAAAATGAAGTGGCCAATGTGTTTTAAAGAGGAATTTCTTGAAGATCTGAAATTTAAAAATACCCTGTACAAGAAAAGGGAAAATAATGTGGACTGTAAAAAATAACCCACAGATCTACTCTGAAAGTCTGGGTGGCCTCACCATGGGTAGTAGCAGTTAGGGTTGGAGGGACCACAGTTAAGGGTCTTGTAGACTCAGGTTGTGGGTGCACCTTGGTCCGGGAAAACCAGGTGAGGTTAAATAGCCTGGACCAACACCTCCCAGTATGTATCTCCTATATATACATGGCGAGACTCGTGTCTACCCCACTGCAGAAATTGAGCTGGAAGTGCAGGGCTGGGGAGCTTGACTGTGTGCTGGGGTGATCATGGGCCTGCCTTGGACCATAGTTCTAGGCAGGGGTGCGGGAACAAATTTTGTAGAGAGGGTGCTGAGAGCCATTGAACCAAACTGTAAACCCTGTATATAATGGAAACCATTTCAAGCCAAGGAGGTGCAGAAGCATCCCTAGTTCCAGCACCTATGGTTTTGGGGAGAGACTGGGTGGGTTTCTCAGCCCTCATGCAGGAGGGACTAGGTCAGTAGCCCAGGACCAGAGGGGTTCGGGACCAACTGGGAAAGGAAGTAAAGGGGCTGGGAGCCAGAGTAAAGATGGCAAAGGGGACTGAGAACATGGTTTTCCCCAGGGTTTGAGGGACCAGCTTAGGAAGTGCCAACAGGAGTTGGACGAAGTAAGCACTTCATGGGGGAAAATCAGCCAACTTGTCAGGATAGAACAAGAGTTAACCCAGGTTCAGATAGAAGCAAAGGGGCAGAGGAAACAATGCTGGGCCCTGCAGGAAGAATAGGCCCAGAGAGGTCAATGGGGTACAGCAGAGACCCAGGCAGAACCTGGGATGCAGCAGGATACTGTGGGAACCCAGGCTGAACTAGCCATTGAACAACTTAGCGTGGGGACTCAGCCAAGATTTCTCCAACAGAGACAGGCTCAAGAAGAGGGCTGGGTAGGCAACAGGACCCTAGGGCGGGGAAAGAGGTAGTGTGGGCCTGTTTTATTGCCCCCCTCCTAAAGGCCAATGAGCTGATAGAGCTACTGGAGTCAACAAAAACGCTGTCCAGGCAGAGAGGCCAGAGAGAGAAGATCCTGAGCAAAGCAGGGCAGAAACTGGAAAAACTCTCCAGACAGGTCTGGGAGAGAGAATCCGGACTAAACGGGGCAAAGATTGTGAAAGCTTTCCAGGTACAAGTAGAAAGACCTTGACTAACCAGGGCAGAGACTGCAAACACAGAGAAGACCCAGACAACCCAGGTGAAGTTAAAAAAGCTTTCCAGGCAAAGAGGCCTGGGAAAGTAGACCCCGTGAAATCAGGGCAAGATTGGATAGGAGGGGACGTTACCCTCCATAGTACCTCCACCCCAATCCTTTCTGTGGGGAGAGGTATGTGATGGGGGTGTATCAGGCCCTTTGAGGCCCCCCACTGAAGGCCTCGTGGTCCTACCACACCCCACCTCAGAAAAGGAGCAGTGAAGGTGGATCCTCTAAGCTTGCCTAGAAAGGCTACAGGAAAGCAGCCAATCAGTGCACAGCAGGCTCAGATAAAAGGTGTTGCAGGGCAGGACGGGTAAGCACTGAAGGTGCTTCTTGTTGCTGGAGCTCAAGGGAGAACCAGAAGACAGGTTCTGGTGGCACTGGCATTCTGTGAGGAAGAACTTCAGCCCTGAGGTCAGGGTGAAGAGTAGGGTTGCCAACTTTCTAATCTCACAAAACCGAACACCTTCGCCCTGCTCCTTCCCTGAGGCCCCGCCCCTGTCCTGCCCTGCCCCTTCTCTGAGGTCCCAGCCCCACTCACTACATCCCCCCTCCCTCTGTCACTTACTCTCCGCCACCCTCACTTTCAGCAGACTGGGGCAGGGGGTGCAGGCTCCAAGGTGGGGCCAAGGATGAGGGGGTTTAAGGACAGGAGTGGGATCAGGGCTTGGGCAGGAGGTTGGGGTGTGGGAAGGGGTGTGGGCTCCAACTGAGTGTGGGCTCGGGTGGGGCTGAGGACGAGGGGTTTGGAGGCATCAGGGGGTTCAGGGCTGGGGCAGGAGGTTGAGGTGTGGGAGGGGGTGCGGGGTGCGGGCTCTGGGAGGGAGTTTGGGTGCAGAAGGGGCTTAGGGTTGGGGCCGAGGGTTGGGGTGCAGGAGGAAACATGTTAGCAACAAGAGGAAAGTCAGGGAAAATGTGGGCCCCTTACTGAATGAGGGAGGCAACCTA